AAATACACCATGGGATGCTGGGAGATCAGGGTTCAAATTCCCACTTGAGCAAGCCACACTCTCTCAATTTCAGATGAAGGCAAGGACAAACCCCCTCTGAACAAATCTTGCAAAGAAACCCTATGAAAGCTTCACCGCAAAGATGCAGGGAGAAGAATATGGATAGTTAGGATGGTGGCAATGACAAATATGTGTTGGTATTGTGTTGAGTAGGGGAGAGGATCCTGCCTCTTCTCTTTATTCAGTAGCAGATTTAAAAGTAAAGGGGAATCTGTTGATTGAAAGCTGCCAATCATACTCTCCTGACCTGTGGCCAGAAAATAAACAAGCCCTGTTGTTAGGTTTACGATCATTCTCCCACCAACACACTTACCCATGGTGGCTGATTAGGCAGAATGAGTATCTTGGAAAGGAAAAGGTATGTGTTTGTGTGTTTATCTGTGTGTGTGTGTGTGTGTGTGTGTGTGTATGTGTGCAGGAAGTTCTGTTCCAGTTGCATAGTGCTGGCATTGCAATCATGAAGTCTGCAAACAAAGCCCTAGTTGTCTGGCATACCTCCAATGGATTTTAATGTAATTTCTGGAGAGACTGACCTTTGGGTATAGCACAACTTGTTCTTAATTAGTCCACCTCCATATCAATTGCACTAGACTCCTGGGGGCTGACCATGAGAAACCAAGCGGCCATTGTTCATACACAAATCGAACACATACTCTTCTGCATGATGTAGAACACAGTGCCAGGTGAACCCACCTTGGCCTCTGTGAGCTGTGCTATGTGCATGCCGCATGTATGTCTGATGTGATATCCATATTCTTCCCATGTATGATGATAAGATCACTGTGTACTGGGCTGGTCACATATTAAATCATGCACACCATTCAGACTTCTGACCTGTTGTGTCAGAGAGGATGGACAGTTACCTAGGTATGTGAACAGTCTTTGAAAGGATCCCTGGCATGATTTTGTCCTTAACAGCATCCTAGAGAAGGAGGTGCAAAGAGCCTTTGACTACTCATCTGTATCCACTTGGCCTTGGGATTAAATGGGAAACCAGAAGTTCTCCAAAGGCTACAGCCTGCTTGATTTAAATCACACATTCTGTTTCTGCTGCTGAACATTTTCATTTTAGAGCAAGTCATTTTACTGTTCATCATGTCTGAATTTGCAAGAAAAAAAAATAACATCAGAAGAAGAACAAATAACTGAACAGGTGGCCATCATATATAGTTTGGAAAATGGTGATAATGATGATGAAATTATATGTAAGAGTTCTTTCAAATGCTCAAAAAGAGGAAGATTTTGTATGACCACAATGGGGTAATACATAAATTGAAAATTGGATGGGGAAAATTGAACATTGGAAGGGGTAAATTGCAGCCCTTCAGATGTTGCTGGACTGCAAGTCCCATCACTCCTAGTCAGCCTGTGAGGAATGATGAATGCTGGATATTGCATTCCAGCAACATGTGAAGACCTGTACTTTTTTCCATCTTTCTTGAACAAGAAAAACTTATTCTTCAGTGGAGTTATTTATGAGTTTTTATTTTGTCTTTTCTCAAAGCACTGAGCATTGTCCTTTTATAATTCCAGTAGTATATCAAACTAAAGTCTGACTGGCATGTTTAAAAATCATACTTTCATATTGTCCCTCCTGGAACAGAAATGCTTCATGTTGCACAGAGAAGGCTGCAAACTAACTACTGAAGGCTCCTCATATAGAAAAAGTTCTGCGAGTTGCTGTTTATAAGAGAGTTTAACACAAAGCTATGGGAAATGGGTAGCCAGTCCATTTTGTTTTGCAATTGTTTGTTCTTAAATAAATTGATTTTAAAAATTAAAAAATAATTAGTTGGCATTACAGTGCTAAGGTGCAAAAGTAGTTCACCAGTTATGCTCAGTGTTAAAAAGTAACAAGTTATTTTTCTTTATAGTCAAAAGATTGCAATGATATAAGCTGCTATAGTATACCCAATTAAAAATGCCACATGACAATTCTTTAACTATAAATGTAACTAAATCAGTAGTTACATTTACACCAAAAAAAATGAGGAGTGACACTATCCCTTGCAATACTACAGTTGTAATTTAACCTAATGATGCCTTCGTTACACAGCATTAAAAGTTACCTTTTAGACTAGTTTACGGAATCCCCTTGGCTGGGAGATTCTCTGCACTGCAATTCAAAGATTCAAATTTCCAAGCTCTGCTTACTTATTGCAAAGAAGAAGAACACTTAATTGTAAGCTACTTGCAATTTGTAATGAGTTATTTCCAAACTCTGGCTAAAGACTTCCACATGTGAACAGTTACCATGCCAGCAAGACTACCAGACTGTGCTCCTGTGCCCTCTCATACTAGCCTTTCACATGCAAGCTGCTGCTGTTGCTTGAAAAACCTAGGGGAAGTTTGAAAAATACACTTTAACCTGCACTGCTACAAATCAAAAAAGACTAAAGCATGGTGCTGTTTCTGAACATATATTTATTTCCACTATTGTTACACCATTTCAGGATTTAAAGTTTCCAGGGTGACTAAGAAGACATACCAAAAACAATATGTAATCACATAAACCCATCTTATCACCATTAAATAGTAATTATACCAACAAAAATTAGAGTTACCTCGATAAGCTCACAGTATTAGATTTTGAATGATGGATTTTAAATCAGTATATTTTTAATTTTATATTGGTTGATTTTAATGTGTCCTGTGTTTATGTATTTTAATATAATTTTTTAAAATGGTTTAATATATTTTAATCTATTTTGTGAGAGTCAATATGATATACTGGTTTGAGTGTTGGATTATGGCTCTAGAGACCATGGTTCGAATCCTGGTTTGGCCATGAAACCCTCTAGGTGATTCTGGGCAAGTCACATGCTCTCAGCCTCAAGGGAAGGCAATAGGAAACCTCCTCTGAACTTCTTCTGAACCAATCGTGCCAAGAAAACCCAGTGATAGGGTCGCCATAAGTCAGAAACGACCTAGAGGCACATAGCAACAACAACAACAACCAATCTCTTATACCCTACCTTGAACCTTGGGAGAGGCAGATAAGAAATAACCACAATAATAATAATAATAATAATAATAATAATAATAATAATAATAATAATAATAATAATATCATTTATTCTCTAAAAATTAGCGTATTATGTAAAAACCAATTAGAGAGAACCTCATGGACCTCAGCCACATGGTGGGATCTTCTCCAAGTGCAACAAGCCACACAAGGGTCTCTCCATTATGGGTATATACCCTGTACATGTGGATGCCTGTCGGGGGTAGAGAGATGCAGGGCCATCATGTCCAGGGCAGGACTACTTGGTGCAGCCCTGGCCTTGATCAGCTGGGAAGCTTTGGAATCTTCCATTGCACCTGAATAGGTCTTTTCTGCGTGGATGGCATTGGCTACCAGTTGGGTACATGCATTTTTGGTTAAGTCTTAGAAGTGTGGTTAATGTGGTTTGTTAGAAGTGTGTGGTCCAGACAAGAGAGAGAGAGAGAGAAATGCCTCCATGAAGTTCTCACCCTAAATGAATAGCACCATAGAATCAATGGCAACCTATGCTATACCTCCTGGAAAGTTTTGCAACACACACTGCTCATGATTACTTGTGGTGTAACACTGGCACTAATCTTATTAAGAAAGGTCTGGCAGACATATAGCTTAAGCTTCAAGAATACATCTCAGCTGGAGGTCATGGGGGCAGTTTTCTGTTGTCTATAGAATTATCACTCTCTCACTTGACTCATGTGGTGAAACCCTGTCAGAGACATTTTGTTCTCGAAAATACAGATAACCTTCCCGTCTGCTTCAGACTCACAGATGGATAATTTCATAATGTATTTTCTCAATTCCTTTTAGATGCTTGGAGGAACAACTCAATGACAGCTGCGCTTCAAAAGCTCACCCAGGCATAAGATTATCACAACCTTTTAAAGCACTGACAGTTACCAATCTACAATGATGATATTTGGGGAGATCCTCCCAAGCCACCACCTCAAGATTGCTTCATTTACATTGGCATCTTGTAAGGTAAGTGTTAAATTATTTCCTCTCATTGTGACAGCTGGGGAAAGTAGGCCACACGTCAATGTTGCCCACACAGAATATCTGTGGCAATGGAAGATCTTAATGATGCATGCCTCATGCTCGTAGCCTCAGTGATATAAACAGCAATGCTGAGAGTGTATTCTCACCTGCCAGATTAAACCCTCACACACTATTCATACATACAATGCTTTTCAAAAAGAAAGAAAGAAAGAAAGAAGAAAAAAGATGGCTCTTCATTTCATTATTTTGAAATCTTAAGTATCTAGACTGGAATTCTCTATCCTGGTCTACACTGCATCTACATTACACGTCCTTAGCTATGTAGCAGAGGCATGAAAGAATGTTCTTAGTGAATTGCAAATATGTGTAACAGGACATTGGAAAGATTGTTCCAATGCACATAGGCACTCCCTAGCTGATGTCCCAATGTGTATTGGTCCCATTGTGTATCAATCTTGATGTGCAACAGTCATTTTGCTAGCTAGTATCATCACAACAGCCCCTTGCTGAATACAAGTGTTGTGAAACTGCACAATTCCATTTCCCACAGATGAAAGTCCACTTGCAAAGACCTAAGTCCCCAAGTGAATCCTAGCCCTAATTCTCATCTTTGCTTGGTGACTCAGGGATAGAAAAAATACTACTTGATGTGATCACTCCAGTAAAACAGTGTCATAGCTGGGGATTTGCATTCAAAGGGAAAAAGAACTGTACATAGCAACTATATCTGGACATGTAAAAGTACTTATGCTAACAAGAAGAAATGTGCTTCTACTGTCACCTTGTTGTTGTTGTGACTTCAAGTTGTTTCCAACTTATGGCAACCATAAAGTCAATCTATCATGGGGATTCCTGGCAAGTTTCTTCAAAGGGGTTTTTCCATTGCCACCTTCTGAGGCTGAGAGAGTATGACTTGTCCAGGGTCACCAGGTGGGTATCATAGCAAAGCAGGGATTTGAACCCTTGTCTCCTAAGTCATAGTCCAATGCCTAAACCATTACACCATTCTGGCCATATCCAAAAAGTATGGAACTCGAGAAACAAGAAAGATGAAGGAGGAAAGCAATAAGTGAATTGGCGGGAAGATATGCATGTTTCACTTATTGCTACATATTTTGTTGAGTTACATGTTTAGTTAAGCGGTTATCTAGTAGGGATAAGATATTAGTATATGAAATATGTATGTAATAAGGTTCAAAGTATTAAATGCTGAATTGTAAAACTAAAAACTAAAATTAATAAAAAAACAACAACAAAAAGTAAGGTTTTTAGATCAGAAAAATTGGTGCATTGCTTGCTGAATGTTTAAGGAAGATGTTATACTGGAAATATTGGATGTTATAATTGATACTACACTGGCCATGTGGCATGTTTTCCTCTGTCTCCTAAGAGTTTATAGTGGTAAAGATGTGCTTAGTTAGCATGTACTGCTGTTGCCACTTTTGCTATGCTACAGACTAAGGATAATCCACATATTTTCCATTCTTGCCATAAGTTGGAAAGGACTTGAAGACACACAAGAACAACAAAAAA